GCTGAAATCGATTCAGTTCAGATGAGTGTTATTGTGTTGTTATTGTTCTCGGTACAGTACAACAGTGCTTCTGGAATCAGTATTCAGTTTGATATTTAGCGCTCCCCATATTTCATTAATGAGCAGAGAGATTTCTAAAGCTCATGCTCTCACACTAATCTCGCCAGGGACGCCACTGAAGCGGAAAACCAATTCAACAGCCATACATCAGCTTCCACTCTCCCTCACTGTGCTAACACAATGTCTCATGTTTTTCTAAATGAGAATACATTTCCCTGACACAAATCCCTCTGCTAGAGGATTTGAGGGCCTTTGAGAAACTTTGGCCTCGTGCATCTTTGCTTTTCACTCATTGTATTAGATTAAGAGCGTTGTTGGCTGCGTTCTTGTGTTTGACCTTCAGAATAAAATTGGCTTATGCAAATGAAAGTGTGGAAATGTGTTCGGTACATTTATAACTGTACTTAATCAGGAAGACAGGGAATTTTGAAGACCATGCTACCAAGACAAACCCTGTGAGGCGTTTTCGTTTTATAGTGATCTTAAAGCTGTGAGTGTCTGTGTGTGCTGAGAGCTGGTAAAGGGTTAATAATAAATTCTGATATGCGATAAATAAGTAAAGAGCCATCAAGCTGTTTGTTTTTACTGGATGGCTGGTGCTGAGTGGTGTGACATTGGGTGTGATAAGAACTGAAGCTCTGAGGTGGCACACAGGATATGCAACTCATTTCCTGCTGTCCCAGTTCTCCAAGTCACACGAGACACTGTGCTGCATGGCTCGAAGGAACACCAAGGAATGACAGTATTATTTTAGCGCCAAGCGAGGTTTCAAAAAAGACAGTCTCACCTGATAAAATACACACTCATTCTTTTCTCCAGATCTAGTAATTCATTCAAAAATACATAAAAAATGCAATCCGACTTCAATACAACTCTTCTGTGACCAGGGGCGGATTTAGTGATTTGGGGGCCTCAGGCAAAATACAGGAATGGGGCCCTATACAATTTCACACATCTACAACCTTGAGGTTTCTTTCACTGTTGCTTTTAATGGTTTAATCAAAAACAACACAAATAACTTAATTTATTAATTTGTATACAATAATAGGTCCCTATGAAATTTAAATTTAAATTTTATTTACTTTTTTTTTTTTGTTGAAATTCTGTGTTGTGTATTTTCATTTTTCTGGTAATCAAATGAAGGCAAAAACATGAATCTATCTTTTATTCCAATGAAAATTAAACAAACCCTTTAATTTTTGTACATTCTAAATGCTACACAAGTTTACTGTGTAACGAGCAATGTCACGGAATTCGTCAAATATTGAATGAATAAATCAAATGCAATTCAGTACACTTCAATCAAACCGCGATATGGACTAGTGTATGTGAATATTAAATGGCAAAAATACTATTTAGCTACTACTACAGACGACAACCGCGAGCGTTGCGCGTGCTTAAATAGCAAACTAGCAAACGAAACGCGCGTCTGCGCCGTTCATTCCGTCACATTCCGCGTTACACGGTAAATTCCGTTTTTATGAATAGATTCCGTCCCTATTTTCTACATCGCCCTACTTTTGCTAAGAAACACGTTCAACGCGGACGCACAGACGGTTGTCGTGGTAATGAACACCAGAGCAACCACTTGCGCGTCCGCACTGAACGCGCATCTCGCATATAAAAAGCATTTTAGGGGGCCCTTGGCTTTTGGGGGCCAAAGGCGGTCGCCTACCTTTGCCTAATGGTTAAGTCCGCCTCTGTCTGTGACAAGTATATATTTAATTTTGGAGCTAAAATGCCAGGGTGATACAACTTGTCCTGATTTAAAAATAACTAATTTATTACAAGTTTATTTATTATTTTATTTATTTTGATTTAATTGTTTTTATTATTATTTCTTAGATAAATAGTCATATTTTAACAAAATTGCTTCACTCATAATTAAGATTTGATCAACTTTGCCTGCCAAATCATATCATGTGGTGTAACAAACAATTAGAAATAGGAAAAAAAGAGGATAAAATAAAGAAAAACAAAGTTGGTACACTGTAAAAAGCGATCAGTTGATTTTACTTAAAAAAATTGAGGAAACCCATTGCCTTAAAATTATTAAGTAAAGGAAATTCATGCATAATTAAAAGAAAAAAGTTAAGTGAACTCGACAATTCTGAGTTACATTAACAAATAAACAAAAGAAAATGTGTTGTGGACACTTTTTATTTTAAGTTGGACTAACTTAAAATCATTTAATTGCGATTACTTAAAAGTGTGAATCTACTTAACTTAAAACTAACAAGTTAACCTGAGTTCTGTCTACTTACTTAAATTGCGGAAACCCGTTGCCTTGAAAAAATTAAGTTACCACAACTTATTGTATTATTGCAATTACAATTCACTTGAGACTGTTTTGATGTAATCTTATTTTACTGATTTCTTTCAATTTGAAGGCTACTACAATTCTCAAAAATACAAAATTGTTCAAAACAGATTGCAGACAAACATTTCTATGAAGAATTGTCAAAAGCAAGTCAACTCACCCTTAATTATATATAACACTTCATACAATACAGATTGTGTTAAAGCAGCTTTACATGGTTAAACAGGAAAATAGTGTCAATAATGCAAACAAAATTCAGTTATGCAGTAAAGCAGCTCTAAAAAGAGGACAAAAGTAAACAGTCAATAAAGACAGCCTTAAAGTCAGTTCATCGTTGATTCAGTGATGTCATCATCATCCAGCTCAGTTAATTTCTCTTCATATATTGTCTCTGCAATCAAGTCATTAATATTCCCAAAAATTAAGTGTCCCCAATGGAGAAAAAATCTTGGTAGAAAGCAGGCTCATTCGGGGGGCCAGTTCTCCTCTGGCCAGACGAACCAACATGGTGTTTTTCATCGTGGTCTTTGCTGAGGTTTTTTGCCAATGGCCGTATAGTTGATGAGGCCTTCACTGGGGATCTGTCTTTGGGGCTCATCTAGCTGTCCTAGTCTCCGCTGACATTCAGGGCTGTAGAGGTCATCTCTAGGTCCTGATTCACCATCTGATCTGGATACAGACTGGATGTGGTGGCTACGGTGACCTCGAAATAAGAAAGAAACAGACTAATATTAGCGTAGATGCCATACTTCTTGTGATGTAACAAGTACATCAGGTGTTATTGACATTGACATTTATTGTTAGTGAACACCTTCAGAATGAGACGTGGCCTTTTGGGGACTAATTTAACAGACACTTCTAACATTACAATTACACTACATTTACTTTACATCAGGGGTCTCCAACCTTATTTCATTTGGGAGCTACTTTTTAAAAATGAAAGCGGCTGAGAGCTATCAATGTTATACAATACTTGAATCTCTTAAATATCAATCCAAACTGTTATACACGGCATTGTTAAAATGTGCTGGAAATATTAAAAAAGTACTGATACACACACTGAAATAATTTTACCAAGTTTTATGACAAAAGATAAGAAATAAAATTAGCAGCACTATGCATTTATTTTTTGCATAAGCAGTGAAATAAAAACATAAAAAAATGATGACCGGATTTTAAACTAACAAAAAATATTCATAACATGTTATCTACTGACATGTACTACATGTTCAAATAAAGTTTTGACCATTTTTTTTTTAAATAAAATTATAACATTTCAGCCTTAAAAAAATATATATTTTTTTTCAATAAAAAGGATTAGTCAGAATTAGGGGCGCTCTGATTGATCGGCTACTGCTCAATATCGGCCGTTAATCGCTTTGGGATGATTGATCGGCAGTCTCTAAAAGGCCGATCTCAAAAAACCGATCTCAAGCTGATGACGGCCCCGTGAGAAGGTTTGGCGCTACATGCAGCGGCACCATCTCAGTCTCTGTCCGGCGCGGGTGAAATAATTGTAATGCTGAAGGTGAGGTACTCTAGTGAACTATAAGCGAACTGCACGCTGCACAGTTGACACAGAAATGGTCACTTGCACAATCGAGGCAGTGTCACATCGTCACTAAAGTTTATAAATGGCATTACTTTTTAATTCTTGCCAGTGTTTAACCATTCAGCTCTAGCGCGCTCTCCTGGAGACTGAGCGCTCAAGCACACACTCGCAGTGCACACACATATTGCTTTGATTTAATTGTTTTTATTATTATTTCTTAGATAAATAGTAATATTTTAACCAAATTGCTTCACTCATAATTAAGATTTGATAAACTTTGCCTGCCAAATCATATCATGTGGTGTAACAAACAGTTAGAAATAGGAAAAAAAGAGGATAAAATAAAGAAAAACAAAGGTACACCTGCAGACCCCCATGACAGCATGTATTAATGTTAGTCTCTGATCAATGTTAGTATCAGATAACCTAACTTTTATGAGAAGGCAATATTAACATTAATAATTGATGATATTTGTAAAAAACAATTTTTACATCGAAACATTTTTAAAAGTAAAATAATTACTAAGATGTGTACACTCACATGTATTAAAGGTGTAAGAAAAATATATTATTTTTTACTTGATGGTAATTTTTAGAGTCATTAAAATTTGGCCTAAACTTTTCTGAAAATTGTATTAATGCAGTGATTTCCTTTGAACTTAATTTCCCATAAACCCTATGGTGACTTATTGTGCAACTGCTCTCCTGGGATTATTCTGCAGTTATGAAAAATGTAGTCTCCAGCTCCACTATACTTCCAAAGTCTTGTTGTGTGAGTTGCAGGGTTTAAGGGGGTAGAAGGAATGGCTGGTATGAAGTCAAACAATGCTATCAGCTCAAGGTCTGTTTGTGCTACTAAGAGGACCAGCTCACATCCTGTTTCTGACAGATATTCATGATAAAGGTCCCAAAAAAGAAAGGATGGCATTATCAGTATGAAGCTAATACACATACTCCCTCTGCTGGCCAAACGTGTAATCTCTAAAAATATGGGTATGTTTGATTAAATTTACATCCATTGAAAGGTTTTGTGACATTTTTTGGTCTCTTGATTCATATTTATGACAGAAGCCAAGCCTGTAGTGTTCCTCCAACATGGTCTTCTCGCAGCTGGAAGTAATTGGGTGACAAACCTGCCCAACACCAGCCTGGGTTTCCTCCAAGCTGATGCTGGATTTAACGTGTGGCTAGGCAACAGCCGTGGGAACACCTGGTCCAGAAAACACGTCAGCCTTGATCCTAAACAGAAAGAATACTGGCAGTTAGCTGATGCTGGATTTAACGTGTGGCTAGGCAACAGCCGTGGGAACACCTGGTCCAGAAAACACGTTAGCCTTGATCCTAAACAGAAAGAATACTGGCAGTTCAGGTACAAGAACAACATTTCTATGAACACGGTGTGTTCAGCATGTTACTCTGTGGTTTACACTTTCTCAAAAAACATCAACCTTTCTACTTTTTAAGAACGTTAAGATGTTACGTTATGCTCGCCAAAGCAATTTATTTGATAAAAAATACAGTACAACAGTAATACTGTTAAATTACAATTATAATTTAAAATAACTCTTTTCTATATAAATATATTTATGAATGTAATTTTCTATGTACTCTTGTAATGTCATGTAATCTTTAGTGTCACATGATCCTTCTGAAATCATTTTAATATGCTGATTTGGTACTCTAAAATATTTTTTTATTATCAATTTCAATTATCAAACAATTTATAATTATCAAATCTGATATATTTTTTCAGGGTTATTCAAAGTTCAAAAGAACAACATTTTATTTGAAAGAGAAATCTTTTTCTTGTAAATCTTCCTTGTATTAAGCATTTATTTCCTCTTTTCAGCTGATACTTGTGTGCAGAGCTTGAAACCTAGTCATACCTCAAATTTTAACATTACTATTTTTCTTACCTTGCAAGCTTTGGTATTTCCTTCTAGAAATACAGATCTAGTTCTTATTTTTGGAATTCTCTGTTGTGTTAATAATGTATCAGCCAGAATCCTGAACTCAAAATCTAAAAAAAAAAAATAAAATAAATAAATCTATTTTTCTTTCTGTGTTGTTTGCTTTTGTGTGTGTGAGCTAGTCATGATGAACTGGCTAAGAAGGATCTTCCTGCAGTGATAAACTTCATTACAAAGACCACTGGCCAGGAGCAAATCTTTTATGTGGGCCATTCCCAGGGAACCACTATAGGTATCACCTATCCTCTGAGCATTTTAGAGTGATTCATCATTTTTATATGTTGAAATGTGACTCAGAGTTGCTATTCATCAAATCACTGGTCTACAAAATATGCTCAGAGATGTGTTGTGCATTATGCATCTCACACTGACAGTAGGCAAAATACATTATCATATGTGTTATCGTGTGGGAACATCTCACACCACAATGCAGCTACAGTACTTCACACTTTTTGCTATGCATGACATGTTATTCCGAGCCTTATATATTTTATATTTTTATATTATTATATATTTATTTTTTCTTTAAATGCTGATGCATAACTTCCTATTCTTCATTCTTGCTTCTCAGCATTCATTGCTTTCTCTACGATGCCGGAGCTGGCCAGCAAAATCAAGATGTTCTTTGCTCTGGCTCCTGTCGCCACAGTGGGGTTGACCAAAAGCCCCATGAGCAAATTGTCTGTTATTCCAGAGTTTCTCATTTGGGTGAGCATTTTGTTTAAAACACTGTATTGTAGCTCTGTTCCAGAAAACTAGAAAACTACCCCATTGCCTACTTAGGCAGCTGCCATTTAAGGATCTGTCCTTTAAAAGAAAGGATTTGGAATGCTCTACATAAGTAGCAATACTGTCAATTTATTTTAAAGGGGTCATGAATTGAAAAATCTAATTTCCTGGATCTTTTGACATGTAAGGGGTCATTGTACTATAAAAACAATCTGTGAGTTTCAGAGCTCAAAACTTCCTTGTTAGTCCAAAAACAGCTTTTATTGAAAGCAAGCTTAGAAAATGTCTCAGGTTACGTATGGAAACACTTGTTCACTGATGGAAGGAACGGAGACGTTGTATCTAAGTCTGACACTAGGGGTCGTACTTGCGAGCCCAGACACCTCTGACATCATTGAGAAAAGGCCAGTGAAATTGGCAGCAAAATTTGCATAGCTGGCATTTGCTCACTTGTTTTGTTCTGACGAGTCGAGAAGCATCTCAACCCACTCAGAGGCAATTCAGAGTTGTGGCGTCTCTGTTCCCTCCATCAAGGAATGAGGGAGGCCATACGTAACTGAGACGTTCCCTTTCAGTTGGTCACTTTGACGTTGTGTCAAAGTACGACATTAGGGATCCCTATTAGAGATGCACCGATTGCAATTTTCTTGGCCGATTCCGATTTCCAATTTTTTTTTGTAAGTGTGACCTGCCGATACCGATGATTACGATTTTCTCTATAAGAACTATAATTGACAGCACATACAAACAAAAATCTAAGCAAATTTCAATGCAAAAATATATTATTTTAATACACCCAAATTATATTTTATTACATTATAAAAGATTATTATTTTAAGAATGATTAAACATTACAATTCCCCCAATCTGTACTAAGTTACAGATGTTCTCTCACTTAAACAACTCTCTAAATAAAGTGCTTTGTGACTGGAAAGAAGTAGAAATAACAATTAAAATGTGTTGCTGTATGTAACAAAACAGATGTCATTTCCCACTATGTTTATAAATGGTCATTTTTTCCCCTCCCCTCAGGGGCTGCGCCAGAGAATTTTGAACGCAGGTGCTAGATCATTGACAGGGGGAGCTGGGCAATTAATAGTAAATATGATCAAAATATGTTGTTATTATTATTAATAATAATAAAATAGCCTAAATCGCCCACTCGATTTTGTAACATTTTATTACCTGATTATTTGGCTCATCACAATTTAATTAAAATTTTTAGTTTTATGAAATTAAACAAGTAGCCTTTAGATCAGTCAGTTCCCAAAGATTTTTATACAGTCCACCTAAAATTCACTGAACAAGCATTTCGGAATGTGAGTCAAAGGCAATATGACATCAAAAAGCACTGAGGATATATTTACTTGGTATTTACAGTCTCAAACCAGAGCCTTCGCTCTCTGTGTATTGATGGCCAAATGTGCCAAGCTGCTGTTTCGAGCATCGCCACAGCTGCTTCTCAGATATATTGTAGGAGACAGGACAAAGATCTCTCACATGATCTCTCGTGGAAAGGAGTAGGGCTGCTATGGCAGTTCACTCTGACGTTAATTTAGATTAATTATGCGCTATAGATGCGCATATCAAGTGTTTATGAGAAGTGTGGGAGTATTATTGTGCTTACTGCATTACAGCATGGAGGCGCCCGCGCAATCCCTTGCATTTTTTCCTGCGGAAAGAACTTAGAATAGGTTACTCCGTCATTGTTGGTCATAAGAGTAGCCTAATAGGCTACATCATTCGTAAAAAAAAACTATTTCTGTTTTTATTTATGTACACTCACAATAATACCAAAATGCTGATCTTTTGTAAAATAGAGAAAAATAAGCGCTTTCTGCCAGTCTTCGTGAAATGGAGCGCATCACAACAATGAACCGCCTACTTGCCTCACAAAAAATAAATCTATGAAAAAATATATATATCTTGAAATGTCTACTATTGTACGAACCAATAAATAAATATATATATATATTATTTTTTTTTTTCTCTATTTATGTAGTCCGTATAAAAATGTACATTTCCATTACTGTGAAGATGACGAGTCCGTGTCGGCATTCGGTAACTTCATCTTTGTAGTGGACACTCACTGAAAGCACTAGTTTATTAATAAATAATTAAAATGTCTTCTTTTCCCCGGGCACATTCATAATCATTAATTTTGCCGGTGCTTTGTGGCAAGCGTTATGCGCGTGCTTGAGCACGGAATAGGCTATACGCCTATGCCTAAAGGATGGTTTAGTAGGTTATTATATTAATCAATTTAATATAAACGTGCGACTAGTTGACTAGAGAAATCGTTAGTCGGGGGCATGCAGGCCTACTTGGCACAAGGAACCGATCCATTATTAAAATAAAATGCTATGACATTATGAAAAGTGCGACTGCAAATCACGTCACGCTGCATTGCACGAGTTATGCATGCGTTATGAGTCAAATGCTTTTATTTTATTTCATTTTTTGGGGGTGCTATGGGGGTGCTGAAGCACCTGCTAGCCCCTCCCTAGCGTCGCCCATGCCTAACCTTTAAATGTGTCATCTTTCACATCAAATTCTTATATTGTTTCAATTGATAAAGTTAGAATAATAAGAAACTGTAGAGTGTTACTATTCAAATGAAATCAATATCAATAAACTGCAGAGGAAACAGAAGCTGCATCTCAAGTGGCATTAGATGTATTTACACACTAGGGATGTGCATCTCATGACTGAGGCCGATACGATATGCATCTCGGTGCATAGCCAACGATACGATACATTAAAGATACATATGAAGCAGCTACCGATGCGATACAATTCACCCCTATTACGATGCTGTGCGATTCGATTTCGATTCGATTCGATGCAATGGGAAAAAATATCACTTTTAATGCCTCATGGCCTGTTTCATAAAACAAGTTTACCAAATAAGCCAGGCTTATTTCAGTTAGTCTGACTCATTGTCAAATGATTTGGTTCCATAAAGCAAATTTAACATAGATCAACTTCAGTCACTGTGGCAACTTATGCTGGGAAACTAACCTGGTCTAAAGCAGGTTAACTAACATCTGTTCAAAATCACGCATTTAAAAAAAAACAAAAAAACTTTTGAGTGTTGTACGGAGAGACCGCGCGCGCGCGTGTGTGTGTGAGACACTCGTGCTCTCTCTTTCCTTATGTGTGTATGTGCACACATCCTCGTACCTCACCGCTCCAAACCATAGCTCCAAACAATTTTTTTAATTTTATTTTTTACAGAAATTATGTTTTTATTATATTTTTGATTATTGAGCTGCAGGTTTAGGTTCACTTAAGTGACTGCATTTTTTTCATTTATAGGGATTTTTTTTTTTACAGAAAATAATTTATGTTCTGATTATTGTTGAGCTGCAGGTTTAGGCTCACTTAAGTGACTGCATTTAATTAAGAAGAATTTAATTATTTATTCTAATTATTTAGCCTGACATGTTTACTGTTCCAAAATGTTCAATATGTTTCTTAAAGTGTTAAAGTTTGTTTTTAGCACTGCAAGATTTCATATGGATTTGGTTTGAGTAAAGTTGTTGGTTTAAATGTAAAATCTCTCACCAAGACAAGTTACTTTTTGTATACACGTCTTCTGCACCAATGTATGTTTATTTCAAGTCATGTTTTACAAAATTCATTGTGACAAAACCTTTAGACACTCCATGAAATGCTACGGTATAGTGAGTTTGTAGATGTAGTTGTTAGTAAAAGCTAGTTAAAAAACACATTAAACAAGTGCATGTCCTTAAAAGGCAACACCTGATCATGAGTGTAAAACTCTGGTCTCTGGGTGATGGCCCGAAGGCTTAAATCAGTTTGTAATATCAAATTTACATTCGCAAATTGCTGATTTGGTTAACAGCACCTCAAACAAATGGGTTCATCTGCTTACAGAAAGAACAAACAAAGAGGTACAAAAGTATTAGTTCAAGCTCAAGGAATGTTTAAAAAAAACTGCTGATAGAACCTACTGCTCAATCAAAATGTCTCTTCACACATTCTCCCTCATCATTTCGATCATTTTGTTGTACATCTCTTGTGGGGCATCCAAACCCCAGATGAAGTCCAGGTGCTCCCAGTGCTTAATGTTGCAGTGGTACACCAATTTAGGTATCTGTGTAAGCAGTACAGCCACGTCCTGAGGATCTGCCAGAGTGTCTTGCCCACCAGACCACAAGGCTGTGGGTACTGTCATGTCCCGCACGTTGTACAGGGGAGGGGTCGACTGATAGGGGAGACGCAGGAAGAGACTTTAATACTTCAAGCACTGGTCAGTTTCACTACTGACTCAGAGTGACAGCAAACATGACACATTCATCCTCACAAGAGTCTACATTATTTCAAAAATCCCCTGGATAGGCAAATTAATTGTATAGTTAGTGGTGAAAATAGCTTAAAGTGAAATTCTGTCATCATTTACTGATCCTCATGTCATTTCCAAACCTATATGACTGTCTCTTCTGAGGAACACAAATGAGGATAGAGTGTTTTGAAGAACGTTGGTAACTAGAACTGGAAACCGAAGCTGTTTGGTTAGGGTTAGGGTTAGGGCTGTTTTGTATTCAGCAGAAGAAAGAAATGTATATAGACATGAGGGTGAGTAAATGACAGAATTTTCATTTTTGGGTCCCTTTAAGGGCAGAAATAGTCAAGTCCTCAATGTTACCTGATTATAATGTGCCATATTTCCAGCTTTTCCATAATCATAAGCCATAAGCTTACTGGATTTCACAGCCTGTACAAAGAATACAATAAATGTATTTAAAATCAGGTAAAACTATAAAGTAGAACATTAAAATGTTTGATAGTGCCTTCTGTATCAAAGAGCAGTCTGTGTGGCTTTTATTGGACCATGTTGGTGTTTGTTGGGTCAGTGTGAACATGACAGTTGTTTCTTAACATAAATCCAACAGACATCTTTACATTGTTTGAGTTGTTGCTGTTTGGTGGGGCAGTGTGAACCAGCCCTAAGACATACAACGTAAGGTGTGGTCTGCATTTTATTATCTTTACAAGTAATTGCTGCTATGTATAACTAATGACTCACTGAATCACTCAGCCTTTTGCCCTATCTAAAAAGGTTGTGTTCACACTGGATTCCTGTCCATCCACTTTAAGGTTCCCAAACAGTGGTAATGTGAATCTAAATTAAAATGGGACATAATAATATAATATATAATAATATTATATTATATATAATTATATTCTGTCATATATATATGCCCCCATGTCGCTTTGCGTGAATTATGGGGGTAAAGAATAAACGAAAGATTCGCTCCGTAAACGCAAAAATATGCATTTTTATACAACAGTTCTTTATAGCCCTCGAATCTGATTGGCGGAGAGGTCTTATGGCCCTCGAATCTGATTGGCTGAGAGTTTTTTTTTTATCCATAAGATATCCACCCAATATCGCCATGGGAGCCGTTTCACTCCACACAATTTTATAAATAATACTGTTTTTGTGTAACAGAATGTAGTTTTAAGAGTTTTTTAGGTGAGAATGTAGTTGTTTAGACTTCAAATATGTGGTTTGTTAATAAAGATAACGTCTATTTGAAAATTTGCTTCAACGTTTTCGGAGATGTGAGCACCTGGGTGTCAGCGGCCGTTCAGCGCTCATGAACCCGCTGAGAGCAGCCTTACCTCGGCCAGATCTTATGGAATTTGCCGCTGGCTCTGATGTCTCTATAGTGGTTAAAAATGAGATATAATTTGTTTGGGGTCATTCTAACGGGCAGTCTTTGGTCTCATTAATCTATTATTTGTTCCAGAGCAAATAGTTTTGGCTGAG